GTCTGCGATGCAGAATGGTGCCCAAAGCCAGGCCCACAAGCAGCTCCCCCCCCCTACTGTGCCCCTTCCCCCACTCGTTCTAACACCCCCATCTCCCCTCTGACACCCCCAGCAAGGCTCACCCACCTTTGAAGAAGTAGCTCCTGCCGGTGCGTGGCGAGTGCACGGCTGCATCCAGCCGCCCCGGGAGCCCCTTCCACAGGGCCGGGATCTCCTTCAGGGGGCCGGTCCCGAAATCTGTCACGGTCCAGACATAGCCCCCCCTGAAGGCGTAGGTCTGCTCATACGGGCCTGGGAGGCAGAGGGGAGCAAAGGGTTAATGCCCAATGGGCAGCCCCCAACCTCACAGATGTGGGGCACTGGGGGGAAGTGCCTGAGCTCGGGGCCAGGCTCACGGGTGGGGGGGCAGCGCAGCCTGGAGCAATGACGCACTTGTCTTTGTACAGAGATGGGTCATCATGTAAATCACCCCCAAAACCTATTTCCTCCCTTGGCCTGGGGCCCCTCAGGCACGTCGGGGCCCAGCCCCAGGCCCTGCTGCTAACGGGGGCTGGGCCGCACTGGTTTGCGCACGTTTTAGCTCCCAGGACTGGGCTGGCAAACGCTCGCTCTGCTGGTGCGGGGTTTACACAGGATCTGGTCTGAGCCCACGGTGAGCCAGACGGTGGACGGCCGTTAATTCAGCGGCGATTAGCGAAGGGGGCGCGGGCTGATTTTTAGGTGGGTGCTACCTGGCCAAAGAGTCATAAACCCACTCATCCTGCTCACCCCCCCGGCTCCATTTCAGCTCAGGCTGTCTGCAGAAGCTGGCCCGGTTCTGATGCCCGTTGGCTCCATTATTTTATATTAACGCCCTCCCTGGGCCGTTCACAGCCCTCCCCGAATGCCCAGCATCGTCTCCGTCCCCGGGCACCAACCCCGGAGAATCCAGGGGGCTTTGGTCCCTTCTCTTTCCCGGCCCGTTGGGAGTTCCCCCACGAAAGAGCCCCGCCGGCTCACCGAACATCAGGGCGTCTAAGCTGTCGGCACAGGGGTCGGGCACCTTGGTGGGCGGCAGGCTGGAGGTGGTAGGCGGGAGGGTCCCGGACGGCATCACTGGGGGAGTCTTTTTGCCTGAAAGTAACACCAGACAGGGTTATTCTGGCCCGTTACAGGCCAGCCGGGGGCTGGAGGGGCTCCTGGGGGGCACAGGGGAAAGGGGAGCTGGACCCAGACAGACATGTGGGGCAGGAGGTGGGGCCCGGCAGGCAGAGCATGGCAAGGAGAAGTGGGGTCCCCCTGTCGAACACCAGAGGGGTGTGGGAATACCAGGCCCAGCAGGACTCGGGGTGGGGGACAGAGCCAGTGGGATACTGTGGGAGGGGAAGGACCCGGGGCAGGGGAGATTTTCATAGAATAGCAGGGTTGGAAGGGACCTCAGGGGGGTCTAGTCCAACCCCCTGCTCAAAGCAGTACCAATCCCCAAATGGCCCCCTCAAGGATTGAACTCCCAACCCTGGGTTTAGCAGGCCAACGCTCAAACCCCTGAGCTAGCCCCGGCGTCCCTCACCGTACAGGGCCCGGATGCCGTCGATGTCATCGAAGTGCAGGCGGAAGTGGGGCCGGTAGCCGCCGTAGACGGGGGCCATGAGGGCCGCGGGGTAGCGGGAGTGGCCCAGGCCCAGGGCGTGCCCGATCTCGTGGGCCGCAATGATGCGCAGGTTGACGCCACGGTACGTCCCCTCCGTCCACAGCTCGTCCTCGTCGAAGTGCACCGTGCCCTCCTCGGGGACGTCGGCGTGAGCCAGCACCTTCCCTGCGCCCGGAGACACCATGAGGGCGGCTCCCCCATCCCGACTGAGCCCCCCGCCCCACTCCCTGCCGCACACTGGGGGCAGCACGGCCTGCCCGTGAGAGCGCCCCCTCCTGGAACCAGGCGGCCGCTCACCCCGACCCTGCCCTCCCCGCGCCCGGGCGGCTCCGCGTACCAGGTCCGTCGAAGGGGCGGGAGCAGGTCCAGGAGGTGGCGCCGTGGAAGGAGATGCGGATGTCGGCCGGGCCGTGCCGCACCTCCCGGAAGGTCAGCGGGGCCACGTCGCTCCAGTACTCGAAGGCGGCCTGGATGGCCTCGCGGGTAGCGCTGGCCCCCATGTCGGGTGTGTAGCGGTAGATCCGGTAGGTCAGGTTCTTCCTGCGCCAGCGGCCTGGGGGGCAGAGGGAGGAGAGCGACTTTGCCAGCGGGGAAGGGGTGGCGGCCCCCAGCCCCCTTCCGAGGCCACAGGGAACGCTGGGACCCGGCCTCCACCCCTCGGTGCCCAGCGGCAGGAGAGGGCCAACCCTGCCCTGGCATTCGGGGTCGAAGGGACACCCTGATGCTGGCTCCATCACCTTCCCCTCCACCTCTGGGCCTAGCCCCATAATGCCGACCTGACCCCCACCCATCCCTAGCTCCGTAACCTCGACCCCAACCCAACACAACCCTAACGCCAGCTGTAACCCCGAGCCCGCCAGGTGGCCCAGCACTCAGCTCCCCCCACCCCCACTGGCTGCACTGGGGTCCATCTGTCCACCCCTCACCCAGCAGCAGGTACTTGAGGGTTTTCTGGTTGAAGGGGTCCTCGACCCCGCAGCGCGGCTGCCTCATCTGCTCCAGGGTGGCATCATCGAGGAGGCCGGTGGCGGGCAGCTCGGAGGCCAGCTGGAAAGACCTGGACGCGGGGGGCACAGATGGCAGGTTCAGCTGGGGCCCCGACGCTCGAGGCCTCGAAGAGACCAGCTCCCCCATGGCGCAGGCTGGGGGGTGCCAGGGACATCGGGTACGGCCCAGCACGCCCAGGGGGCAGCGTGGCTCTGGTCACGCACACGCCCCGCTGGGACTACAACCACCAGCCACGCCCGGGCTCCGGCCCCAGCTGTGCCCACGTGCCCCAGCCCGGCCCTGGCCCCCCCAAGGCGCTTGGCACCCGCATTACCTCATGGCCTCAGTGAGCTCGGCCTCGGTGAACTCGTCCGTCAGCCTCTCCAGCGGCTTCTGCAAATACCCGAACTGCAGCAGGTAACGCTGGGGGGGGGGGAAGGGACATGGGTCAGCGGGACACGTCCGGCCCCGAGGGACCTGGGCATCGCTACGCGGGTGGAAAACGGGGCCCTGGCCAGAGGGGTGCAGCGCCACCTCTGGGCTCTGGGCCTGGCAAGAGATGAGCTGCGTGATCTCATGCCTGGGCACTTAGAGGCTGGCATTTCCCATAATGCTTTGAGGAGCTCAAAACGCTGTCCCTTTAATGAAGGTTCACAGCCCCCCAGGGTGTGTGTGTGGGATCACTGTCTCCATTATACAGATGGGGAAACTGAGGCGGGGGGAAGAGACTTGCCTTAGGTCAGTACCAGAGCCGGGGACAGAACCCTGCAGTCCTGGCTCCCAGTCCCCTTGCTCTAACCACTAGACCGCCCTCCCAGTCCCCTCCCAGAGCCAGGGATAGAACCCAGGCGTCCTGGCCAAGGCCTGTGTGGCCCGCACAGCTGGGTGAACAAGCGGACAGGAAATTCCCACGGCCTACTTTGCGCGTCAGCAGGGGGCCTGGCCATGTGGTGACACTGTCCTGTCCCAGCGGGGGAGGAACCGTGGTGTCCAGCCTGGGGTCGCCGCCATATCCCGTTGGCCCAGCCACGCTGCAAGGCCCTGGCACGTGGGTGGCCCCGTCCCCAGCACAGATTGAAACAAGTCCCGGGGCTGGCGTGGGAACTCTGGCAGGGCTGGGCTGGGGGAGTCCCGGAGGATTGTCAGATCAGGGTCGGTGAGAGCTCCCCATCCCCCAGCTCTGGATAACAGGGGGCGACGGGGCGGGAGTGAGGGGCACCGGCAGAGCTGGGCGGGATCCCAGGAATGGGATGGGGATTGGGGGGCACCGGCACCATTCCGCCCCATCCCCGGTCCCCCCAGCACCATCCCGGCTGGGCCCCGGAACCGGCGCTCCCTCTGGGGCACGAGAACACCCCCGGCCCCGACTCACCACAGCTTCCTGCTCCTCCGAGGGGTCGCTGGCAGCGGTGCTGGCGAAGAGGGCGAGGGCACAGACCTTGCAGAGCAGCTCCAGCCCAATCATCCTCAGCTGAGCTTCTAGCAGCAGCGGCCAATGGCGGTTTCTAAGAGGGGGCACTAGACACTCCTCTGAGCCCTTGGAAACCGTCTTTCTGGGCCTGGTCCCTCGTCCCCTCCTGCCCGCCGGGTTCCTAGCGGCCCTTCGCTCCTCTCCAGCCCTCCCGCCCCTTTCCCAAGTTTATAAACCTTGAACAGCCCGGATGACTCATTCCAAACTAAACCATGTTGCAACCGCAGGCCAGAGCCCCCCCCCGGAGGGGGGGGGACAGACAGTTAACCCCTTCCCGAGCGGGCTGCATGACGGACCGTCCCAGCGCAAGGCCCGCTGGACCAGGGGCTGCACAGACACAGAGCACGGGGCAGTCTCTGCCCTGTGCGGTTTGGGCACCAGAATAGGACACAGGACTTCTGGGTTCTAATCCTGGCTCTGCTGCGTGAGGCCCTGCCCCCAGGCCTCAGTTTCCCCTCACGTGAGATGCTGCCCAAGCCCGGCCCAGGTTACTCCTCTGGGATGCTCTCAAGTGTCCCCCGGGCCTGACCCTGGGGACAAAACAGAGTTCAACAAGCCTGTGGAATTGACCCTTTGCCCCCAGCCCAGACAGCCCCCCCCCCCCCATGATCTCTCCAGCCCACTGGGGGCAGCCGCTGGGGGCCTGCAACGTGCCCCTAGGAACCAGCTGGGACCCATCCCCCAGGGCCCCAGTGGGTGTAAAGCTGGTGAAGTCAGTGGGGGACTGGCTGGGTCGCCCCGGCTGGGCTCTGGCCCCATTGACGCCCGTGGGGCACCGGTCGGTCGCCCCGGCTGGGCTCTGGCCCCATTGACGCCCGTGGGGCACCGGTCGGTCGCCCCGGCTGGGCTCTGGCCCCATTGACGCCCGTAGGCACTGGCCAGGTCACCCCAGCTGGGCTCTGGCCCCATTAACACCCGTGGGGCACCGGCCGGGTCGCCCCGGCTGGGCTCTGGCCCCTTTGACGCCTGTGGGCACCAGTCGGTCGCACCAGCCTGTTCTCCTCACAGACTCACTCCTTGCCCAGCAAACCGCGCCACAGAACAGCTGCCAGGAGAACGGCACAAAGGACCAGGGCTCCCAGCAAGGCCCCAGCGCCCGTCCCTCGGGACAAGCATTGTCAGTCTCTGGCCTGTTCCCCCCGGGACCGGGCAGTAGTGAATCAGCCGTAGCCATGGCGACGTGAGCCCCACACGCACGCCTGCTCATTACACAACCGGCTGCTGCGCGGCCTGAGTCTGACAGCTCCCCCCTTTCACAGGGCATTGGGGGAGGGCACCAGGGCAGTTCAAGGGTTCCCCTTCCCCTCCACTCACTTGCAGAAGGGGGGAAAGAATTGGGGTGTGATGGGACAATTCACCTGGGGAACTCACCGCAACAGGATCGGACAGAGGCATAGGATTAAAGGGGGTTAGATACATACAGGACTAAGGACAGGACCTAGCTATGATAAAAGTTACAAGGGCCAACAAGGCCACATAGCAATCAGTTCCACCACCACTGAAATGCAGCCACCTCTGGGATGGAACGTGGCAGCTGTTAACACCTGCACAGCAGAGCTGCCGGAGCCAGTAGGGAGGCAGAACCCCCACCCTGGCTGAAGCTGCAGAGGGATGTAGGGAGGCAGACAGGGACAACCAGCGGTGGGGGAGGGCCAGGACAGTGGTTCCCACACCCAGCTCCCCCCTTCTGCCCCACATTTGGTGTTTTGTACGATGGGTATTTTCCATGCTTCCGGCTCCTGCCAACTCCCCCAGCTGAGAAAAACATCAGGGCGCGACTCCCGGGCTCCCGCCATCCCCGGCTGACGGGGAGACGCAGCCTGGCCTGTGGGATCAGACTCCGGCACCATGCCAGCCCTGCGGGGCGAACCAGAGTGAAGGACGGGGCACCGTGGGTGAAAGAGGGACGTACCATGGACCCTGCCATCCAGGCAGGCGGGAAGGGAATGGAGGGATGAGCTATAGAGCCAGTCACCTGCCTAGAGATGAGCCCAGAGACCTGGCTGAGATGCAGAGTGCGGCCCTGCCACTCTGTGCTCACAGGGAAACTGAGGCACAGAGGGGTGTGACCTTACCCAAACTGTCACAGCGAAAGTTAGTGGCAGGAGCTTGGAGCGGGTCTCCAGAACACAGTACAAACGCCCTGATAGAACTCGTTCAGACCCCCTCCCCCAAAACCTGCTGAGGACCCAGGAGTCCTAACTCTGCCCTTAACCACTAGGCCTCCCCACTCCCACCTCTACTCTAACCCACGAGAGCCCCCTCCCTTCCCACAGCTGGGGATAGAACCCAGGAGTCCTGGGGCCCAGCCCCCACTGCTCTAACCACTAGACCCCACAGCTGGGGATAGAACCCAGGAATCCCAACCCCCCCCCAATCCCCCTGGGCAGCACTTCCTTCAAGCACCCCACCCCAGGCCAGCTGCCCAGCCCAGCCCGGCCCCCAGGAAACAGTTTAACCTTCAAGCACAAAAGCCGAACAAACACCCCCATGGCTATTCTGGTCCCTGGGGCTCGCCCCCGCCTTGGGCTGGTTCAATTGGCATGGGCGAGCAGCAGGGCCAAGGGGCAGTCAGTGACCCAGCACTGCCAGGAACTCCAGGCGGGCGATGACTGGTCTGGCAGAGCTGACTGGCTGGGAGGGAGGAGCCGGGGGTGTGTGTGTGCGCGTCGCTGAGCGGGAGAGCGCGGCTTGAAGGGGGCGCGGGCAGGGGGATGACAAATGGCATTTGTATCCCAGCCGCAGCTCCAGGGCCGTCAGCCCAGATGAAGCCCCTGCTCCAACCCACTCAGCTACTTTCCTCCCACTGTCCAGCGGTTAGAGCGCCGGGGGGGGGACTCCGGACTCCTAGGTTCTACATGCTCTTAGGCAAGTCACTGTCCCAGCACCGTGCCTCAGTTTCCCCCTTTCCACCTGGGTCTGCGCCTTTAGCTCTCCAGGACAGGGCCTGGTCTGTGTTCGCCCAGCGCCCGGCCCACAGGGACCCCGCTCTCAAAGCGATTAATGCTAACGGGTTCCCACGCTTGGAAGGGGCTGCAGGGAGACGGGATAGCCTGTACCCCCCCCACCCCCCAAGCACATGGTGTTAACAGACCTCGTGCAGTCCCCAGAGGTGGGGGGCCCAGTCAGGTCACCCCATGCACCGACCCCAGCTCAGCTTGAATAGACACAGCGAGGGGTTTCACGCCCAGCACCAACCAACGTCCCGGAGGCCGGGGAGTCCAATCCCACAGCCAGCAAGAGCCCCCGTCTTTCCCCTAGAGGTGGGGCAGGAGCCGGCAAATGGGCCAGTATTTACACAGCAGTGGGCCCCAGGCCGCAGCCCCATGGCGGGTTCATGCACCTGCTGCCACCACCCCAGCCTCCCACAGGACAAGCCTGACAGGACCCTGCTCTCCCCTTGCTTTGACCCCGCCCAGCCACGCGGTCTAGGGGTCATCACAGGCAGAGTGAGAGCCAGGACACCTGGGTTCTGTTCCTAGACCTGCTGCCATCTCCCTGCAGGGGTTCAGGCAAGTCACGCCCGCCCCCTCTGCACCTGTTTCCCAAAGCGGCAGCCACGCTGGTAACAAATTGCCCTCCGTGTGCCCAGGAGACGCTCCCGCCCCCCGCCCGCGCAGTGACACTGACCAGACCCGTGTCCGTCACCCTGGCATCTCTCCCACTTAGTCACCCTCTGGTCACTATGGCAACAAACAAGACAAGCTGTGTTCTGTGCGGCTTTTAATTAGTCACCAATTCTGTGCCCTAAACACCCGTCGCCACCCAGAAAACCGCCGGGCTGGGTCATGCACAGGGGCTGCTGTCCCGGCCCCACAGCTGCAGCTCGTTGAGGGCAAGGGAAGGGGGGGACGGGACATATCGTTCCCATGAGACACAGGGGGGCTGCTGCCCCTGGCAACCCTCATCCCACACCCGGTCCGCCCAGTTCCCACCCCCTTTCCCGTCCATCGCTCCCAAGCGTTGGGGAGGAAGGGGGCAGATGACCCCACACGTACCCGCTGCAGGGTTCTTCCGCTGGGAGATACGGGGCGAGATGGACCCTGGCTCTGAGCTGCTCTAGCAGCTGCTGTGTTACTGCACCGCTGGGGAAACCGAGGCACAGCCAAATCACCTGCCCAAGGTCTCCGGGGGCCAAGTCAGCACTAGAACCTGCTCCCCCCTCCCAGGCACCCCGCACCGCGTCTCTCTGGCCGTGCTAACGCGCTGCCTCTGCGGCACCGAGCCGACTCTGTGCCACTGACAGCCCGTTAACAGGGTGGAGCTTCTGGCCCAGGCCCTGTGAACACCCGGCTGCACCAACAACCCAGAGTGCGTCAGTGCAGCACAGCCCCAGGGCAGGAGCAGCCGGAGGGGAGACGGGTTCGCTGAGCTGCTGCGGCGTGGGAGCGCACACGGGCTCTCCGCCAGCCAGGGAAGGCCGCGGGTGGCAGCGTCCCCTCGGGACCAGCTTGCGCACGGAGCTGAAAAGGAGTTGGCTGGTCAATAGCGGGTGGAGCGGGCGGAGCTATGGCTTGCAGAGGATTCTGCCCTGTATTACTTTACACCCCAGAGGTGATCGGGGGCCCAACATGCTGGGTGCTGCTCCCAGGGGCTCCCACTAGCATCCCCACATACAAAGGCAGACGGGCACTGCCAGGCCTGGGCGTTGGAGAAGACAAACGCACCAGGGGGATCTAGGCACTGGGTCACGGCCAGGCAAGTCGCCATTGTCAATTAGCCAGTCCCCACGCCCCGAGTCGGTAGCACGACCGATCAAGGTTTTCTGACCTTTCCCATTACAAGACCCTGTTTTCATTGCTTAGAACTTGGCTAAGCTTTAAGCGCTCGAGCTGAAATTTCCCATGCTCGGCATCTGCTGCCTGCTGAATTCTCCTGGGAATTTCAGCCAAAGCTCTCCAGCCACTTCTGAGAGCAAGGCGAAGGGGAGCAGGAGCCACGGGCCGCCTTCTGGAGAGCCCAGTCAAAGGGGATCGAGGCCTCACTCCCTCAGCTCCTGGCGAAGCCGCCAACAATCCCAGAAGCGTTTTGTTTAAACCCCTTCGTAACCCCCTCCCCCAGACACAAATCGTGATCCAAAGCTTCATTTGGGGTCTGCGGCAGCAGGACACACCCGCCCTCACCTCTCCAGCAGCGCTATGCTGCGGCTTGGCCTCCAGCACCCCCCAAAACGCAAGGCCCACCCCAGCCTGCATCTAAGGCAAAACCTTCCTGTCCACCACTACCGTTGGGCTGGGCTGGCAGAACCCGCCCAAGTGCCCGCACTCCACGAATGGACGAGGCAGCTCAGATTTTGCTCTCGCGTGCAGGGGAACAGGCGTCACTAGAGCAGTGACCAAGGTTCTCATTTTCAGCCGGACGCCTGCAGCCCACCATACTCAAGGGACTGGACGGTCCCTACAGAGCCACCTGGTGGCCAGTGTCAGGCGGAGCAGGTCCCCGTTTACAGAGGACTCAAGCCAGTTACTCTTACACCAATATACCCCCAAGACAGGCGGTGCTGCGCTCACCTTCCCAGGGGTGCACCAAGGACTAGCCAGGGGCACAGTCAGCCCCCCCACCCCGACTGTTCTTAGCAGTGAGACTTGCACAGAAAAAACTTGGAAAATGGGACCTAGACGGAGCAGCACCTTCCTGAGTTTGCAGAGAGCCTGGAGCAATCGCTGGAGGGTCACTCCAATGGGCGCGGTCTCAGATGCTGGTGAAGATCCGTTAAGGGCCAGCACTGTTAACTAGTTCTCTGCTCCCACAGAGAAAGCACCATGTTCCAGAAAGCTACACAATCTACTCTGAGTAGCCACGCATTTTGGGTAGGCCGTCACCACACTGTGGGGCTGACGGGGGAGGATGGGCGTGTTCTCCTGAGAGAGGGGCGTGCCTCAGCTTTCTCGGCTTTCCCTCCAGCACGCAGAGCACGCACTCTCCGGGGAAGCCAACGAGACTCTGCGGGGGCCTGAAGGCAGCTTGGCTCGAAGAAGGAAAAACAAAATCCCAGACGCCGAGGTCACTACTGCAATTTTATTATTGTGTCATTTTTAAAAATCAGAGGAGTGAGTGAGTGGCTGGAACACAGAACACTGAGGACCTGGGAATCCTACGGGGCTGGGGAAACAGCCGTGGGGTGCTAGCCCCCCCCCCCCCCCCCACGCCCCCCCCACCCCCCCCCCCCCCCAAGAAAATAATAAAAAAGGAGAGAGGTATGTGAAAAGTTGTCGAGTTTCTAACATCGATAGCTGGGAAAATTGTTCTTAAAAACCAGGCAGCACCCAACAAAAAACCCAGCCGGGCCCAACGAGGTCACCACAGCTCGCAGAATTCATTCACCTGCGTGCATTGAGTCCAGTTCAGAGTCTCCCTCCCGGGCCCCCCCTTACAAATCCAGCTCCAGGTCCTCCAGCTCCTCCTCCAACGCTTTCCGCCGCGCCAGCTTCTCCAGCTGCTCTTTCGTCGGCTGCTTTATTTCCCCAGAGTCCAGCCGCTGCTGCAGCTCCTCCACCTGCCGCAGCTTCTTTTTCAGGTTTTTCATCTTCTTGGTTTTCTCAGAGGCTGAGGAGTCCCCGTCCCCCAGGGCCTTTCCGCCGCAGGCCTGCTGTGGCTGCAGGGCCGACTTACCGTCCCCCGGGGGGCCCCTGTCCCTGCTGCTGCCCCCCAAGAGGGTGGCCTTTTCCAGTGACTGGATCAGTTCGTCTGTCTCCCTCTCCCCTTTCTCCTGCTTCCTCTTCTCCTTACGTTTCAAGTTCCTCTTGGCCGTCTTGGACAGGCCGGTCTCGCCGCACTCCGCCTTGGTGGCCTGCTTGCCTGGCTGCGCGTTGGCCTCGGGGCTCAGACCGGGGGGCAGGTCTGGTTTGCTTTTGAAAAACTTCACATACTTATTCTCATACCTGCACAGAACAAAATCCATCAGGACTTTCCTCTCCCACGCACAAAGAACAGGAGCCAGCCAGCTGGTCCATGCGGCGGCCATCAGCTCCAACGCTCTCTAACCCCATTGCAGCGGCGCCTTGGACACACCCAGAGCCCCAAGGCCTTGCCGCTGCAGATCCAGCCCACCACAAGAGGTGCTGAGAACCCACTGGTCCAATCACCACCCAACGAGTCATGAACGCTCAGCCCCTCCCATCAGGCCCCCCAGAACAGCGGCATCACTGAGGGACAACTCCAAAGGGCAAAGGAATCACAGCACTTGGCCGCCACCCTCAGGGCGGGAGATGACGCCCAGGACCAGGGGAGTGAGCCTCCATGAAACACACGCACCTCGAACATTTCCGGATTTGAGCAGTTTGCGAGGACCTGAGCTCTATGCCTGAGACTAGCAATGCCGGCCGGCAGAGGTTACCCTCGCAGGCAGGACACATCCGGAGCCCTGCCGAAGCCACCCACCAGAATGATTTATAAGGGGAGTTAATACATACCGCCAGGTTACATCTTATGGTATAAGAGGGGTCAAAGTTGGTCGGGCACCTGGAAAAAGACTCAGATCTCACGATGTAACCCAACAGTACATACACATGGTTATAAATCATTACAGCCGAGGGGGCGCTGGGCTGGGGGGATCTTAAAGGGGCTTGACTGGGAAACGTGGGACAGCCTCTCCATTGCACCCTTCCTGACAGATGTGGCCCAATGGGAGACAGGCGGTTTGCTGCACCATGGCCCCTCTTGGATCGACTCGCGCTGGGCCAGCGAGAGGATGTCTGGTGCGTAAGAACTGCACACGCGCACGCCAGCCCAAAGTGCAGCGCTCGGCACTAGCACGCTGAAAACACTTAGAGGGAGTCCCGGCGTCGGGAATCTCGCCGAGGCAGGGCAAGGCCTCGGGAGACGGGGCAGGGAGGCCATCTTTAGTATTCCCCAAAGGGTTTGGAGACTGGAGACGGCAGGTTCGACTCCAACGAACGACCACATTCCCAAAACTTCATGGCCCAATCTGGAAGCCTAGAAAGTTGACAGCCGATTGGCCTTAGGTTCTAGCGAGGAGTGGGAGCCACATCCCATATGTGAGAGTCGATGAGCCCCCATGGGGGCCGACGTAGATCCACAGCGGCACGCTGAGCCCAACCCCCATTCCAGCTCACTAATGACCCTTCTGTGGACATGGGAATTCTGAAGCCAAGCCAGGTGCCCCGGGAGCTCCCTGAACATGCTCTGCCGTGGGAGAACAGCTGGGATCAGTACTTCAGGGGCTGACGGGAATGCCTGGCTTGCATTAGGGATTCAGAGATTTAAAGCCAGAAGACACCCTTGGGATCACCTAGTCTGGTTCGGTGGAGCACTGAAGAACGTGTTTCCAACTCGGCCACAAAGCCTCCCACAGATCCTTTGGGGAAAGCGACCCCAAGCGGTGAGCAGGCCCCAAATGTACAATTGTCTGGCTCGTCACGCTGCACCCAGCTAAGAGGTGGACGATTGTAAGATGGGCCGTTACCCTGAAGGAGGGAGGGGTCCCAGGCCTATATGCAAAAACGGTAGCAGTTTAACCTATCCCTGGGCAAATCCATGGGGACCATTATTTCAGTGAGCGTGGCTTTCTTCAGGTTAGCTTATGGCCTTTAAGAACAGGTTTAAGCTAAACCAAAAGAAACCGCCCCGAATCCAAAAGAGCGCGCACACAACAATTCGCACCAGCTTAAAATCACACCTTAAGTGAAACCAGCGCCGCTTCCTCGGGTAGCCCAGCTCTGCGGAAGCAGGCCACCTGTTCACTGAATAGGCCGAAGCGCCCGGCACACATTCGGTGCCGTAGAAGCAGATAATCTCACAGCAGTCGAGGTTTCAGATGCGAGGAGTTGGACTGCGTAACAGCCCCCCCACTACGGGCCATGCAAGAGATCCCAGAGGCCCTCCCCTGCTCTCTGGAGGGGGCAGCCATAAGGACTAGAATTCGACTTACACTGGCACTTCTTCTTGGGGCACATATCCCTCCTTCACCTTTCTCTGCTTCCTCCAGGTCCCGTCAGGGCGCTGCGTGGAGGCAATGTACTTCCCTGAAACGTTACAAGCATCTTTGTCTGTGATGGGATATTTTAAAGAGGGGGAAGGGAAAAAGTGATTTCAATATTCACCTAAAGGCTGCTCAGTAAGACACGGCCAGCTAAGAACCCCAGTCCAATAAGAGATGTCACCTCCCCCACCGTGTCTCTTTGGCAACTTTCAGTTCACAGAAAAACTGAAAACCAGCTTCACGCTCCCCCGGTCAGTACTGGACCCTCAGATGGGGAAACCGAGGCACGGAGCAGGGAAGGGAATTATGCCGGAGGTCACCCAACGAGTCAGGTCTCCGATGGGTCAGTGTGACTGTACCGGTGCCGTCTCCTACCACAGAGAAACTGGGGATCGCTACCCCCAGGGCCTGCCCCGTGGCCACGCCACCAGCGCAGCCCCCCAGGCCACAGTCAGGATGGGGCTTCTCTGGCGGGGCCCGCAGGGGACGGGGAGGAAACAGCCCCGCACAATCCGGAGTGAGACTGAAGGGGGCACAAGGTTAAGGAGTTTGGGGGGAGGGGGGGTACAGACACGTGACTGGTTAAGGGGTCAGGAGCTGGGGAGATAAGGGCAGTGGGGGGGGCAGGATCTGGGGGGATGCGGGCAGTGGGGGGGGTCCCTGGCGGGGGAGGGCAGGAGGTGGGGGGG